TTTTCATTTTTTTTATCATAAAAAGTTTTTTTTTATTATAAAAAAAGGTTATCAGGTATTTGAATTGTCTGGAATTTTGTTACTGATTATCGTTTTTTTTTCGAATTAATACCTGCTTTATTTTTTTTAGCTATAATATTTAATCGTTTGAAATGTTATTACAACCGTTTTTTTCTCCCGAATGAATATCCGTTTCCAAAATTTAATCATCGCAATAAATTCTAATAACGATACACGTGATAAATTAACTACGCATCTCTACCAATCAGGCGACAGTTTTTTTTTTGTTTTTTTTTTGAGTCTTTATATCATTTCAGTAAAAAAAAAAGGGAAGGAAAAAATTATGTCACAGCCAGTTGGTCACTTGAGATAGCGGTGAGGCCGGTGCCCACACATGCTATCTTTGTCGTCTGCATGTTTTCTCTCTTGCATTTTCCTTTTTTTTCTTTATTCTTTTTTTCGTTTCATTGTTTTTTTGTGTTTGTTTGTTTGTTTGTGTGTTTATTTGGGTATGTTTGATTGTGTGTGTTTGCTTGTTTGTTTGTGTGTGTGTTTGTTTGTATGTGCGTTTGTTTGTGTGTGTTTGTTTGTTTGTTTGTGTGTGTGTGACAAAAAGAGAGAGAGTGTGTGTGTATGTGCTTGTGTGTTTGTGTACATCGTTTCATTTGTTTTCTTCTTTGTCTTACTGTGTCTCTTCTTCTGTTTTCTGAGTTTGTTCAGTCTGTCTGCCTCTTGGTTTCTTTCTTTCTTTCCTTTTGTGTCTTACAACCTGTTTGTTTCTCTCCACTTCCCCATCTTTCTCTCTCCATATGCATTCATCTCTCTACCCCTTTCCCTATTTCTCTTCCTATCTACTTACCCTTCTATCTCCTCATCCTCTCTTTATCTCCATCTCCATCTTCATAAACTGACCCACTGACACCCCCCCCTTCCTCTCCCTCCCCCCAGAACCCGGGGACTGCCTGACGGTGGCGCTGAAGGAACGATGTCAGAACCTCCTCGACCGCCGCGGCCGCCGTCGGAACTACTCCCGCCGCTGCGAAATCAACTTCCCGCCCTTGGTCGTGACGGAGGAAGACGCCCGCACGCCCTTCCGCCTGCACGCCTTCACCCACGCCCACGGACATGGCCCCATCCGCAGCGAGGCTCTCAAGCAACGCCTCAAGTGCCGCAGTGACGCCCAAGGATACGCCCCCTGTCCGCGCCTTCGTCCGCTCAACGACACGGAGCACCTCGTCTGCGACCCGCTCGGTGAGCACACCCTCGGGCTATGGAACGGGGGGAGGGGGGAGGGGGGAAGGGGGAGGGGAGGGGTCACTGGGTTCATGAATAATCATAGTAGGACGAGTAGTAGCTCAGTGGTACTAGTAGTAGTAGCAATAATAATAATAATAATATTTGGATATAGTAATAGTAGTAGCAATAGTAATAATAATATTTGGCTAGAAATGCTAGTATTAATGAGTACCATAATTGCTACTATAATTATTAACATTATTATCCTTATTATCATTATTGTCATCATTATTACCATCATCATTGTTAATACTATAACCATCAATATTATTGTTGTTATTACAATCAATATTATTATCATAATCTTTATTACTATTATTATTATTGTTATTATCATCATTATCATTATCACAATTGTTGTTGTTGTAATTATTATTACTATCATTACTATCATTATCATTATTAGTATTATCATTACTATTACCATTATTGATTATTATTATCATAATGATCATAATAATTATCATCATCGTTATTATCATCGTCATTGCCTTCGTCATAGTCATTATTATCTTTTTATAATTATTATTGTTATTGTTATTACTATTATTATTATTATTATTATTATTGTTATCACTATTATTATTGTTATTATTATTATTATTATTATTATCATTATCATTATTATTATAATGATCACAATCATTAATATTATCATAATGCATCATTACCATTATCATTATCATTATTATTATTATTATCATTATTATCATCATTACCATTATCATTATCATTATTATTACTATCATTATTATCACAATCAGCGTCATTATTATTATTATCATCTTTATACCTCTTCATATCTCGTTCATTAGCCATCTGGTGGAGACTTTCATAATGACTGATCACGTGACGCCGATCTTGAGTCATCTGGCGGGAATCATCTAGCGTAAATATTTTGTCATCTAGCGCAAACTTCCTCATTATCTAACCGTAAATATTTTGTCTCTGTCGGGACGCTTTTATTATTTCGTGTAAGTCCTCTTCTTATAATGCCGCAGGAAGAGAAAAATACTGGTGTAAAATCTTTATCACTTGAGAGTATTATGACCGTGTAGCAGTTTTGTTTTCTTCTTCTTTATTCTCCTTCTCCTTCTTTGTCTTTTTCTTCTTTTTCCTTCGCATTTTATATAATTCCCTTTCGGTATAATAGTAATTTTGATCATCTAGAATAATCAATATCTCATCTCGTACGAGCTCCTTTTAATTTAGCGCAAATACCTAGCAATTCATCGGAAACAGTTTAGCGCAAACCCTGAAAAAAAATAAAAATAAAAAACAAGAAAAACGCTAAAGTTTAGCAACTGGCCCTTCTGTTTTTCCGAGCAAGAATCACGTATTAGGAAAGCTGTCATATTTTTATCCCCCCAGAAAATAGCCACTAACAAGATTTATTGCCGGCTAAATTCATCGCTAGCTCGGAGGGACGTCTTAGCCTGTGATTGACGGCAGGATATTCAAAGGCGGAGCACAGACGTTGCATCATTCATATTCGCCTATAAAAGTCCTAGAGAGAAGAGAAAAAAAGGATAATAAAAACCTTAATCAGCGAATAAAGATACCCCGAAGCATCCTCTTAAAACTCTCCCAGCTTCCCCGACTCGCCCATAGCCCATCCCATCCCCACCTAATAAAGTCCTCAGTCAGTTTCTTCAAATACCGCTGAGGGAAGACGCCTTCAGGATTCGCCAATAGACCTTAGGGCCTGGGAGGAAGGGCAGGGCGGCTGTCATATGGTGGAGTGACGCCCTTTAAGCCCAAAGCCCGAGGGAAGGGAAGGTGGGTTCACAGTTAGACGTCGTGAGGAATTTGAGTGACCAGCAGAGAGGGACGATGTTGGTTCTTCTCTCCACCTCCTTTTCCTTTTTTTTTACCTCCTCCTCTTCTCGATTTCTTCATCTCCCCCCCTACTCTGCCTCCTTTTCTCCCCTTTCCTCCCTCTCCTCTCCACCTACTTCTCCATTTTTTCCTCCTTTTCTTACCTTTCCTCCCTCTCCACCTCTCTTTTTTCCTCCTCTTTTTCTTCCCTTTCCTCCCTCTCCTCTCCACCTCCTTCTCCCTCTTTTTCCTCCCTCTACCCTTTTCTCCTCCTCTTCCTCTCCTGCCTCTTACACGCTCTTTTCCTCCACCTATTTTTAACCCTTCACTATCTTTGTTGAAATCAGAGGTAAAGATAGTATGAAGAAGTGTCTCTTTTTAGTCCGTTGGGCCGTGTACCCCCACCCTTCCCCTCCCCCCTTATCCTCCCTTCCCCTTTATTCCACTCCTCTTCCTTCCTTTCTCCTCTCTTCCCTTCATCAGCAGCCTTTTGCAAATTTCACTCCCCCTCGCATTCACCGCATTCATCCCTTTTCCCCTTTTCCTTGTTCTCTTATCTCCCTTTCGCTCCCTTATCCTTTCTTCCTCATGCCATTTTTCCCTTTCTCTTTTGTTCTTTGTCTCTTGGTTATTTCCTTCCCTTTCACCCTCCTTTCGCCACCCTTGTTCTCCCTTTCCCTCTCTTTCACTTTCTTCCCTCTCTTTTCCTTCCTTTTCTTGGCTTATTCTCTTTGCCCTCCCTTGTTTTTTTTCTTCCTCTATCTCTTCTTCCCTTTCCCTCCTCTCCATTTTCATGTCTCACTCTCTCCTTACGTCTTCCTACCTCTTTCTCCGACCCTCGCCCCTCCCCTTCGCCTCTGGACCACGCCCTCCGCTTCTCCTCTCCTCCCCCCACTTACACCCCCCCCCTCTCCGTCCTTCGCCTTTCCTCGTTCTATATCCCTTCCCTGTGCCTCCTTCCTGCATCCCCTCCCCTCCCCTCTTCTCCCAATTCTTTAATTTCTCCCCTCCCCTCTCCTCCCTCTTTCTTCCTTTCTCCCCTCCCCTCTCCCTCCTATTTCTTCCTTCTCCCCTCTCCTTCCTTCTCCTTGATTCGCCCCTCCCCTCTCCCCTTCTCCTCTCCGCCTCCCTCCTTTCCCCCTTCCCTCCTTCCACCTCCCCCTCCCCTCTCTATCTCCTCCCTTCTTTCTCCTTCCCTCCTTTCTCCTCCCCTCCCTCTCTTTATCACCTCCCTCCTTTCCCCTTCCCTCCTTTCTCCTCTCCTTTCCCTCTTCCCCCTCTCCCTTCTCCCAATCTCCCCTCCCCCTCCCCCTTAACCCCTTAACCCCGGTCTCCCCCTCCGCACGCCCAAAGGCACGCCCGAGACAGCGACGTGAGACCCGCCCCGACGAGGAAGTGTCCGCGGGCGTGAGAGACTCAACACTTCCTCCACGGGCGTTCGAAAAGGTCTTGGGGTTTCAGATTCTGCCTGGAATCGTTGGGTCTTTTCCTCCTCCGCAGGCGATATGCTATGTGTCTAAGCTAAAGGCCTAAGCTAAGTGTCTATGTTGACTATCCGGTCTAAATCCCTAAGCTAAATGTGTATGCTGACTATCCTATTTAAGTGTCTAAGTTAAATGTGTATGCTGAATATCCGGTCTAAATGTCTAAGCTAAGTGTCTATGCTGACTATCCGGTCTAAATGTCTAAGCTAAGTGTCTATGCTGACTATCCGGTGTAAATATCTATGCTGACTATCCGGTCTAAATGTCTAAGCTAAATGTGTATGCTGACTATCCGGTCTAAATGTCTAAGCTAAGTGTCTATGCTGACTATCCGGTCTAAATGTCTATGCTAAATGTGTATGCTGAATATCCGGTCTAAATATCTAATAAGTTAAATACCTA